TTCTCTAAAACTAAGCTAATTTTTAATTTTGTGACGCTTTTAGGCAAATTGGTACAAATACATACGTTTTACATACTGCAGCGATATGTTTTTGACAAAAATTAACTCTTTTATATAAACTTTAGTTTATCTTGAATTAATTAACAAACTAAGTACAATTTCTTTAATGAAACTTTAATCTGAACCTTTCCTCTCTCGCGAAAAATCATATTTTAATTGCAACGCTTTTATATTTATACTCAAAGGTTCCCATTTTACATAGTTCTATCAAATAAATACTATTTAATCATGGATATCATAGTGTTAAAGATATCATGACTAAATAAATAAACGTTAACTCGACGTGCGAGGTAATCAATTTAACGCAAGATTATTCATTTGCCGGATATTGATTGCAATTTGTATATAATCACACTTAACAACATTATTATAAACTTATCATGTTTATCTGAGTTTTGGTAAAGTTTGGAGTGTATGAAACATAAGGTGTGTCGTGTTAGGTTTGGTTAAGCATTGGAAGAAGGTTATACGGCTCTCTCTCTGACAGCAATATGTATACTTGTTAATTATTACGAGCAATCTAATCTATTGTTCACTCGAATACGGTTAACGAGACGATGTTTGTAAATGTTGTAGGCGAGTTCGAGTAAGATGGCGGCTTACGATTGGCAATGGCTACAGTCCATAAATCGTATACCGATGGGCAAATCACATAAATTGTCGCACCAGCAAATGTATGTGTTGTCAGAGAATCCGGCGGATTCTGCGGGCGGCCTAGAAATGTACACGCTGAAAATGAGAGAACTGAAATGCATTTACGGCAGAATCTTTCAAGGTATGTTCGACTACACAAATAGGGTACTGACACGGAATGTGAACGTTACGGAAGCGTGGCCGGCGTTGGAAGAATTTAAAAAAAAAATCGCCAAAATGTTTTCCGCTCTGCTAGCGGCAAACGACCATGCGTACCCGTGGATGTGGCGCGTTTACTTCATGGTGTACGCCGTCGAAAGGCCAACGCTGACCGAGTTCATTTCCAGTTACAAAACCGACACCGTGTTAAAAGGCAACATCGACACGTTTGTCGATTCGTGTACCGCGCAACATTACCTGCACCCGTCGGGTAACACAAACGCCGAACAGTATGTGATCGACAGTTTAACGGTGCAAGGCCAAAACCAATCGGACTACGCCTATCAAAATGCCAATTTGTTTGGCATGGACGAATTGTTACTCAAAGCATTTCGCACAGACTCTATGTTCGAGCGATCCCGAATTAACGATTTCCAAGACAAGTTGAAAAAGCGACTGTTCGCCGTTTGGGAGGCGCCGATGAGTGATTTCTACTCGAAACAGATCGATCTCGTCATTCACCACAATTTGATCGCCACATTAATACATTGTTCCATTTCTCACTTTGTTTGGATGCACTTGGACACGGTTAAGAGAGATCAATCAGTCAATACCCAAACCGCTTTGGATGCGTTGGTGTCGCCCTTAAACGACGCCGTCAAGCTGTTGGATAACCACAGCGATGAGTTTTACAACGATTTGCTGTCGAAAATCCAGTCGAGAACGGTCAGTGCGGGAACGTTACCGGGTCTTTTGGCCAAGGCCAAAGAGAACTTTGGTAGTCATTTTTCCTCGTTGAGCGTACACGGAACGTCTTCAAACAACATAGAACTCATTGAAATGTTGACGAAAAAAAAAAGTAACTCTGATAAGAATGCTGCTTCAATATTTGCCTCCGATTTAAAAAATTATATAAAAAAACTCGGTAGTTTTTCGTTCGTGTTGATTGATTTTTATAAATCAAGTACAGTTGGAAATAATTAAATTGTATATTCAAATAATAACCCACATTTACCATGAAATTAAATGCATTACAATAATGTAACTGCACTCCTCGTCACTTTTATTAATTAATCGGTATCACTTTTATAATTTTAAACAAACACTGTATACTGCATTTTAGTCTGTATTTATAATTAATGCCTGTCATGGCGTAACATAAATTAATTAAAATCCTATTTTAAATGTCACAACATCACTTTTTTGGGCTTTCTAATAAAATATAATACATACATGATGTTTTTATTTTTGTGTAAATTATTAAAATAGTTTAAAATACTATGAAAAAAATGTTTATACGACATATAAATCTATATATTTTACTTCTCTTAGTTTCAGCCTTTTATACCATACTGCCAAGCAAGATAATCTTATCTCCTATTTCTGTTCTCGACTGCTTCCTTACATCGGTATTCGACTTCACCGACACGTCATGTTTTTTATTAACACAATGTTTCCATCTTAACGTTGGCTTTCCAAAATTTTTTTTTTTCGAATAGACTTTGGTGATGAGCTACTTGGAATCTTTTCCAACATGCGATTATTGAGAGACTATACTTGATCATTTCTTTGCGCCAAAAAAGATATTTATTTTGTGATTATATATAACAGGTTATATACTAAATTCCAAGTTTTTCGGTTTTTTTTCATTATAAAAATACGTTAACTCCGGATTTTTATTTAGTTAGTTTTGAAGAAAACCGATGAAAATCTTTATAAAAATATGTCGATGCAAAGTTAACTCTTGTGTTAGATTTCTTATATAGGTAAATATAATAAATATATGAGGAAGGGTTTTAAAACGTTTTGTGTAAGCAATATTTAAGAAAAAAGTAGTTTTAATAAATTTCGACCATATCAATGCTAGTATATATTAACTGTGAACTATACAGATAAAAAGATTAAATTGTTCTAAAATCTTTGTGTAAAACACAAAAAATACCGAAAAGAAGTTTCACTTTCAACGCGCGTCTTCAATCCGAGTACACACACATTGGGTTTTTTTTTTTTTTTTTTGTTAAGCTGTTCTGTTCTGTGTGATTTACATTAGTGTGCAACAAAATGAAGAAAACACACTCATAAAATTCTGAGCTGTGGTCAATCACTATGTTGAGCCGCATTGGTCGCATAGAAAAAATGATTTCAGCCAAGCTGAATCCAGTTCAACAGGCAAAGTCTTGACTCTAACAGACCACATACTGTCAATATATTAAAGCAGAAACCTATTTAATCATGTCTAGGGTTTCCGGGTTTTAAAGTTATTTTAACAAATTTCTGCAGTAGTATTAGTCAATTGAAAATAGTTCTATCTAATCCGTAATGGTCGTATAATTTATTTGTTTATGTCTCCTAAACTTATACAATGTGAGATAGCTCACAGTATGAGCTCATTTCCACACGTTGATTGACTATCGAAAGATGGATTGTTAAATAATATATCATGTGGCCTGTGGTGTATAACTATATATTCTGAATAATGCTAAACTACAATAACCAGTATAGTGAGGTCGGGGCATAGTAGGGACGGGGAGGTCACAGGCTTACAAGAATTTTTAAATTTGAAAGTGATTAAATCACTTTTGAAAAAACGCTTCGATGCAAATCGGTAGTTAGTAATTTTAAGCCAGTACAGTCCAAACCAAGCACAGTATAACCAGCAAAGTTAGAAAGTATTAAATTGAGCTGCTGTATTTACAAATAAGCATCAAAGTGTTCATTTGAAAGTGATTTTATCCGAGAGGACTAGTACAGTAGAGTATAGGCATAATGGAATCAAAGCAACGAGGGGACGGAGAGGTCACAGGTCTACAGGAATTATTATAAATGAATGTGATAAAATTGAATAAAATCACTTTCAAATAAACACTTTTATGCTTATTTCTAAATACAGCAGCTCAATTTAATTACTTTTTTACCTTTGCTGGTTATACTGTGCTTGGTTTGGACTGTACTGGCTTAAAAATACTAACTACAGATTTGCATCGAAGCGAATAGCCTAAGAAAAATAAAATATTCGAATAAACTATTTAATCATAATTTTTATTTTATTAAACTGAATAATAATTACCCGAATAAAAACAATTATTCGACGGTCATTCAAATAAAAAAAAATTATTTAGATAAAAATTTATCCAAATAATGCCCACAACTCTGCTTGCTGATTTCGATTAATCCGATTGCAAAACTCTGATTTGAGATAATATTTCTAATTAGTGTATTTAAAAACGATTTTTTTTTAATAGCTTAAATACTCATATTACCTGTTAACTTGACGTATTGTCAGATTCGTATACGTTACTAAAATGAACAATAAATGTCGTGTAAAATATTAAAAGACAGCAATCTTTTAATATAAAATGTCGCCCATTTCCTCCATTGTCTCCATTTATTTATTTAAACAAATTAATATTCTTTAGCCGAGTAAATAATTTATAACAGATGCAGGTTTTTTAAATTTATTATAACTGATACTGATAAAATCAGATGCTGCTCTGCGACTTTGTATAGTATGGTAAAAATATATATAATTGATGAACATAATTTTAAATGCGACAACGAGCCTAATATTATTATTTTAGTTTAAAACATACATTATAAATTATAACTATATAGTGGTATGTAGTAAAATATATCCATTAGAAAATAAATTAAGCATTAAAATGTACAGTATTTATTTGATGTTGACCTGTACACCAATAACGCTAATTCAGTAATTCAGTAATCGTCTTACTGCTTAATTCTATACAGATCCATTAGGGCAACTATAAGTGATCTATTTTTGGATATAGTCATTGATCTCTAAGGTTCTATATTACAGATATAACCACTAGTACAGCTTTAATCATAACTAGATACAGTCACTTATATTGACTAATAATCCTATTAGGAGGTATTGGCTAATATTATCTTTCTAGTGTGGGTTAGTCCGCTGGTTGTGATAGAGTTTCAAAGGACTAAGAGGTACTGATCATTGTCACAATTAATTTAAAAAACACGTGTTTTTCTGAAGTATAAAAAATTGTGATATCTATTCAACGCCTTGGCAAAAATTTGATTAAAGAATTTATTAAACGGTGACGCCCCCCCAACCCTTAATCAGTTTTTGCTGTGCTAGTGTTTTGCTCTTTTATGACTTAATAATTATACAATTAAAGTATTGATTATAATAGTTTATTAGTTAATATAGTTCTAATGATATTGAAACATTTAGTTAATAAAACGATGATTTCAACTAAAATACAATAGTAACATCAATATGCAATTAAATTTACTCGTCGTCTGAGGAGCTTGATTCTACTTGTGTATTGTCTGTCCAAGGTATGAGTACTCCGTCTGGGCCACTGAATAATGTTTTATAACAGCTTCCATTGGTGTCTAATTGATCTCGATATATCTCCACCGCAGGTGGTTCCATATACAATATTCTTCTGTCAGGTAATCCTGACAAGTTGGTAAGAAACTGATGTGAAGTTACAACACAATTTCCGTCATCAGTACATTCTTGTTTATTTATTAACCGATAATTTAGTGTACGCTTGATTAACCCGACCAATAAACATTTTTTGCCTTCGTCATTCACGCACATTTGGGCGTCTTCTGAAACCAATCGTGAAATAATATAAATTAATGACAAGAAATAATAATAAAAAAGACACACACACACACAGTAAATTTATCCACTCCACAGAAAAACATTGAATCATTTTTTATGTTTTTCTAATATGCATTTGAAAAGTAGCAATAAATATTATAAAAATACTTACTTAATCTGTCATGAAGAACATAGCGAAATGTTGAATTAAAAATATTTCTTCTTGCCTTTATCTCGATGGCATAAGTCTTGTCGGCTATAATATCATACACATTATGTAATATGTAAATTATGGATAAGAGTTTTCAGCTTTTTCAATAATTGATCATTACTAATATAGTCTATTTTAAGTAAATTGTACAACTGTAATGTTTACGCAAAATATACCTTAAATGCTTTGGAGAACACAATTATTTAAAATATGTATTTACCCGTATAGATACTATTTTATAGTGCACATTGTAAACAGTATGCATGATACTGAAATCCAATTTGACAAATTATAATTGAATTTTCAGATAATAATTAAAACATTTATAGTAAACGTTTTATATCACCATTATTAAACGTAAACCATTATAACGTTTATTAATTTGAATTTGATAAATCCAGATATTATTTCTATTACTAGTACATAGTAGAAGGTGCCCTAGTCTCGAATAAAACTTGCGGATAGTAACTATTACAAAATATAGCATGTGCTATACTTACGAGGAAATTCATAATTTTGCCACCCTGTAATAAAAAACAATAATTTTAAACTAGGCATTTAAAAAATGTATATACATCAGATTTGATATAAAATTAAAATTTAATTATCGTTTTAAATTATAACCATTCATAAAGTTCTTAGTAGTTGCAAGAGATATAAATACTTGTCGAGTCTTGTATGTTGTACTTAAAGACAAGTTATATTTTAAAGTTAAGATAAGTCGACAAGTATTATAAATAAACAAATATATTTTGCTAGAATAATGAAACTTAGTTACTAGAGATTCTTATTAATTCCGCTCGAATTGTCATTTCTCTGTCGTATATTTTTTGATATTCTGAAGCTAACTCTATAATAAAAATATTTAATTTCCATTAAAATTTGTTATTAAAATATTATGTAAAATTTCACGGCCTAACTATTTATTATTACTTGAAGTTTATTTTTTTGCTAAAATAATTATCTCTTATTTAGGTAAGATTAATTAAATTAAATAATGATTGGTCACCGATAACGAGTTTTAAATTAATATAAAATTGAATGATAATATTTTTTTTTATACAACTAAAAAGAAAAAAATGAATAACTGAAATAATAACATTTTATTAGAAATTTGTTTAAAGTTAAGACCGTTGTCTTATAAAAAAAAATGTATACAATGGTGATATTTTAAAATTATTATCTATCTTAATATATATATGTTTTTTCGAAGCTAGGTAAAAAAAAATGAAATAACTTTAAATCGTTAAATGAATTAATATCGAAAAAATTATGTCACAAATAAACTTCATTAATACAGTACTTATTTATAGTTATCAAAAATATTACCGTTTTCATTCAAGACTCCCAACAACTCAATATCTATAAAAAAAATAATATTTAAAGAAGCGCCGCATCCCCTATTTATTTAAGGCCTCTTTTAGCAAAATAATAATTGAAAAATACATCTATTGGTGCAGCAAATTTGCTTTGATACAAATCTACCAGTTTGCCATATTCATTGGAAAACCAAAACATTTAGAAGAAATACAATTTATGGTAAAACTTTATCTCTAGTATTAATAATTAAAATTACGGTCATGTGGCGACCTTTGAATAGATTTTTAGTTATAACTGAACAGTAATAATAAAATAAAAACATTCAAATACACGTTAGCACTACAGAAAATACACAAAAACTATTGACGACCTATGCATTATTTAAACTAACTAAAATTGAAATTACATAACTGAAAAAAAACTTTTATCTCAACAACATAAGCGGTATCGCCTGTTGATATAAAACCTATTATAGTATACCTGGCGGGTGAATGATTCCAATTAATCCCTCTGAAATAAAATACAAAACATTTGTTGGTTAAAAAAAGGTATAGTACATATGAGCAGAATTTAACTGTTTCTTAGGCACCATATAATATTGGTCTTATTTTATAGTACAAAGAAAATATTCAGTAACCAATGACAAATAATACCCTACTATTAGTATTGTGTTGCACTTTAAAAAATATAATAATGTACAAATAATAATACCATATCCGAATGTGGGCAAGAGATATTCTAGCAAATCGATTTTTTGATCTGAAATTCATGTACATAAAGCAATTTATGATTGATTTCGTTAAATAAACTTTAATAATTATTATTGAACATCTAATTAAACATGAAGACAAGATGGGTAGATCCCAGTCAATAATTTTAGAGGAGTCTGAAGAAGTTTGCAGTGGTCTAACAAGGGTGTGTTATGTATATTGATAGTAAAGACACTTTTCACCACTAACGTGACTTAAAATCATGAAAAAAATTGTATACCTTAAAAATGACACCTTGAATTAAGGGATTTAAGTATAGAAATTTATTAAAATTGGTAAATTTACCGTATTGTTACATAGCATCATACTATACTAATTATTAAACACAATATTTAATAAGGTAATAAGATACCCGGGGGCTTAGTTAATTATTCTGTAGTATAAAAAAACCAGTACAGTGGGGTCGTGGCATAGTTGGGACGGAGCATAGTTGGGTCGGGGCATAGTGGGGACGGGGACGTCACAGGTTTACAGGAATTTTTATATCTGAAAGTGATAAAATCACTTTCGAAAAAACGCTTCGATGCAAATCGGTAGTTAGTATTTTCAAGCCAGTACAGTCCAAACCAAACACAGTATAAACCAGCAAAGTTAGAAAGTTTTAAACTAAGGTTCTGCATTTACAAATAAGCATCAAAGTGTTAATTTGAAAGTGATTTTGTTCAATTTTATCACTTTTGTTTAAAATAATTCCTGTAGACCCGTGACCTCTCCGTTTCCTCATTGCTTTGATTACATTATGCCTATACTCTACTGTACTAGTCCTCTCGGATAAAATCACTTTCAAATTAACGCTTTGATGCTCATTTGTAAATACAGAACCTTAATTTAAAACTTTCTAACTTTGCTGGTTTATACTGTGCTTGGTTTGGACTGTACTGGCTTGAAAATACTAACTACCGATTTGCATCGAAGCGTTTTTTCGAAAGTTATTTTATCACTTTCAGATTTAAAAATTCCTGTAAACCTGTGACCTCCCCGTCACCACTATGCCCCGACCCAACTATGCTCCGTCCCCACTATGCACCGACCCCACTGTACTGGTTTTTTTTTGTTAAATATCATATTTTATTTGTAACATTCAAGTTGTTTTTTTTACAATGTACCATACTAATTTTTTTTGATTTCGTTTAAGATTTGGGTATGTATTATAGAAACCTTATATTACAGCCGGTATTATTGTACGATTTTCTTAATTTGCTATATAAGTATTAACAGATTTTTTATCGATGCGTAAATTTTACTTGAAAATCTCTTAATTTGCTATTAAAACGATTTTTGTTTGTATTTCTTGCTGTTGTTGTCGTTATTGTTTTATTCATTTTTGTACAACTGTGTTGAATATAGAACACATTTTTTTTTGTTCAATGTAGGACGTTGTCCTACCGATTGTTTTTACAAAAATATGCATATGATTTTTTTCAAGTTTCTACAGTATTTTTATGTCATTGAAAAAAATGAAGGTGATTTAACTACGAAAATATCGGTTTGACAAAAAACAAAAAACAACATATATTTTGTTACTAAAACACATTTTATAAGAGCGATACGAATAAGATATTAATACTTCGGTAGTATTAAAAATGAATTCCTTACTTAGGGGCAAAAAAGGCAAACCAAAATGTCCTGAAATGAATAAATAATACTAAGTCTATGCTTGAAATGTAGTTTGAAAGAGTAAAAATTAGTGAACTTGAATACACTCATATATTTGTATAAATTTAAAAAAAAAGTGTACTTTTGTAAGTACATAGTTTTTATATACATTGATAGTTGTAATATTCGGAAACACTTGTTCTTATAAATAAAAGTTCACAGCTGTAGTAAAATAACATGTATTGAGTGGAGACATGTACGAAACAGACATTTCCTATCATATGTTGATAACTTTATTCTGTTATCGAATATCTTATTGACTAATGTCATAATACAAATCTAGCAAATTTATATTTACATTTATGTTTATACGCCTCAAGGGCAAGATTATAAGACATCATAAAAACAGTGACAATTTATACAACTACATAAAGTACAATAGAATATCAATAGTAGCAATTACTGTTACAAACTAAAAACTATATCTACGGTAGAAGAAAAAAAAAACAAAGAGAAGTAAGGTATTTACAATAATTTATAATAATTACAACAAGTAACAGAGGTCGGAATTAGCTAATGACATACAGCGCCGTAGTGGTTCATTTAAACCATAATTAGTGGAAGAGGAAGAAAGGGAAAAAGGAACTGTGTAGCGGGTAGAACGGGGAGGAACTTCGAAAGAAATTTTAGAAAGCAAACAAGGTGAGTCAATTTATCCATGCAGTAGTTTAACTAAAAACCCAAGATTGTTTGCACGTCTACGGTTAGCTGTTGTGAGTTTTCGCCGTATAAGGGTCCCAAATAACCGAACCATATTCTAAGATTGGTCTAACCAGTGAACAATACAGTGCTCTCAAAGGTGATTTTAATTTAAATTCGGAGGACACACGTTTAATAAAACCTAATGTTTTGAGAGCTTTACATCAAACTTTCTCTGCGTGCAAATTAGGACTAAGCGTCGGACTGAAAACAAAATCTAGATCAGTGACAGACTTGTCAAGCGACACTAAAACCGATCCCTTTATAGTACGACTAAATTGGATAGGGAGTCTGCGGCGTGTAAAAGAAAAATAATGACATTTAGCAATATTAAATTGCAGCCCCAGCTTATCGCCCCAAGAGACTAAACCTTTTAACTCTTCTTGGAGAATATGGCAATCGTTTAGAGAGTCAATCTGATAAAACAGTTTAATGGCGTGCGCAAATGCTAATAGGCGCACATGCTGTAAGACAAGGTTAGCACTATTAATAAACAACGAGAAGAGTAGTGGAGAAAGGGGAACCCCTTGTGGAACACCCGAAGAAGCAGGAAGAATATCAGATGTAACTCCATGAATTCGCACCCACTGTTTTCTGTCTTCGATAAATGAACTAAACCACGACAATAGCGGCTTTCTGAAACCAGTTTCACGTGATACACTTACCAAGGCCAGATGGTCAACACGGTTAGGTTAGAAAATAATTAGTTTTAGTTATAATATAATTTTCTTATTCGACTTGATGTCAAATATTTAAAAAATACTCAAACTTTAGAAACATCCATGCTAACACTCCTAATTAGGGGTCAATCTAAAATGTAATACAACGTGTTAATAAAATAGGTTATTTAGTGTTAAAGGTTTAAAAAAGAAACCGTTTAAAACTTTAAAAGAAGGGTTGGTGAGTATGGCCCATTTATTATTACAGTTTATGTAAACGTCCCTGAGTATAAGATAATAGAAAATCGTCGAAAACTTTAAGAAAAAATTGCAAACTTATGCAGTGTAGCAAGTATAAATATATTTTTTGCAAAATTTCTGTAAACACAATATTATTAATATAAACATGTATTTTGTCATTTATGAAAATACAATATATATTATTATAATTATTATGTAATAATACCTATATATTTTTTAATTATTTGCATTTAACAAAAAACAACTACCTTTAGTTATCTCAGACTTAATTATTGGTTTATGTAAATAAATATTATTTGTGATCTGAACGATGCGAGCAAATAAATTGCCACATTATAAAAAACAAGTAATTTAGACCATTCTAAACACTGAAGAGTATTAATAAAATAGAGAGAGGATTATTATAGCTTTATTAAATCAATGGCTAGATCAATATAATACAATATAATATACTCATTTTATTTAAATCCGTAAGCAAAAACAAATAAAAGTTTTAGGTAAGCGTAGTATGCTTTATGTAATAGGTATGTAAACAAATTAGGTTTACAAAATCATGTATAAATCAGCTAATATTTAGTTATTTTATAATTTTAGTTATAATAATTTTAATAATAATTTATATATTTTTTTTAATTTTTGGTTTATATTCTGCCTCGTCGATTTTAATCAGTATCCACATTTTCCGGTAGATCTTTGAGTTGATTGAAAATGAAAAGAATTCCTGGGCCAGGCAATGATGGGTTTTCAGCACTGGCCGCGAGTAATGCTGGTACATTTGGAATACGTCTAAATGTATAGCTTGTTAAAATATTTGAGCGATTTTGAGCTAGAGATTCAGCTAATTCAGGAGGCCTTTTGCTTTGTACACTTGTCCCAAGAAGAACGTCCACAATATTAGATGGACATCTACTATTAATTAATCCGGGCTTTGCGTGGTCCTTAAAAAATAAAAACGGTTCAACACATTTTTTGAATAATGTGTTTTATATAAAAATTACTATTTGATTTTGCTTAGGTGTAAATGCCAAAGTATGGCATTCATCAACTGTAATGGTCTGTAGTGGTAAGTTTGCTAGCCATTCTTCAATTGATTCGTATGGTTGCAGTGCTTCGGTCTAAAAAAAATTTTTACTACAATGAATTTTAAAAACAAATACTAACTTAGTGCGGACAGAGAAAGTTTTTCACCATTTAATTAATTTTTTGTGTTATGTTGTATTAATATTTTATGTTGTAATAATTTTTACGATTTTTTCTTTCTATTTGTCATTTTTAATTTTATCAATTCGTTGTTTCATTCTCTGCTGTTTTATTTTATATTGTACTTTACTTGAGCCTACGGGCGTTTGTTCAATAAATAAATAAATAAGAGATAAGAGATAGGGGTAAGAGGTAAGAGGTAAGAAATGAAGGGCGGGGTGGGAATGGGGTTGGGTTGGGGGTTCAATTGAGTTGTGGGTGGAATGGGGTTGGGGGGTGTGGGAATGGGTTACGCTTTTTTCTGATAAGAGATATGTTGTACGTTCAACGTTCAGATTAGAACTAAATGATAAATTCAAAAAAGTTTAAGGGCCAAAATTCTCTATGAATTGTTTTAAACCAATTTTTAAACACTGCAATATTAGCCAGAAACTTGATGTTTTAATATACCAATCACCTTAGATACTAGCTTGTTATTGCTTCTTAATATACTATATCATTATCTATAATTCCACCACTACTCTAAATTTATTTCAGTTAACTATGTATCAATTTTAAAATAATATATGTAGGCATTTTTTTATGTAATTCAGCGTTAAGTTAAAATATAATCCAGTACCTACAAATTTTGTATTATGTACTTAAAAAAACAATTACATTATTTTCCAATCTGCTATACTCGCCCGTCTGTAACAAAAAATAAGCCATTACAGTGGGGTTGGTTCACAAAGGGGACGGATCACATTAAAGGAGGGGGTCAGAGGTTATTATGAATTATTACAACTGAAAGTGATATTATTCTTATGATTGTAACTTCACTTTATTATCACTTTTTATTTTTGAATACAATAACTTATTATTTAATGTGAGCAGGCTCCTTATACAGGGTGATTCATATAGGATAAGACCCTCATTTTCCATTAAGTAATTTCAATTCAGAAATTTTTTTTTTTGGAAACATTTAAGTTTTATGTTATTTTATATTGTTAAGTTAAAATGTAGTCATTCAGTACCTACTAAATTTGTATTATATACTTAAAAAAACAATTACATTATCATCCATTTGGCTGGACTCGCCTGTCTGTAACAAAAAATAAGCCATTACAGTGGGTTGGTGCACGAGGGGATGGATCATATTAAAGAAAGGGGTCTGTGGTTACTATAAATTATTACAACTGAAAGTGATATTATTCTTATGACTGTAACTTCATCTATTTAAAAACATAAATATTTTTTTCTCTTCTCTTTTTTTTAGTCTGGGTCGGAGTCTAGTGGGGACGGAGTGCAGTTTCGTTTTTATCTGCACAAAATACCTAGTTAACCGCACTTCAACGGCCGTCTTAAATTTTTAACTAGAATGACTTTAAAATAATTAATCCAAAACTGGTTATCGATCCGTCACAACGTTTAGCGAATATTTCTGCAAAATTATTCTCTTGCATTTGGTCGAAAAAAAGTCATTTAAGTCACATTACCCTCAATAAAATCCCAAAATAGTGTCATTATTGATTTTATAAGCTATGTTGAGTTATCATTTTAGAACACTATAAATATTTTTTAAGTATAGACTGTTGAATTAGGTAGCAAAAAAACCTGCCACGATGAGCGGGGGAATGCGGGACGACATAATATAAAATGCCACGCACTCTCACTATCGGTAGTACGCGCGATTATTAATTTTTTCAGTCCCGAAACCAGTATGAAAAGTACTACCGATTTAAAAAAAAATGGTATCCAATAAAGTGGATTTATACCCAAAATGTTATTACATTTAAAAATTGATGAGAAAATATATACAGGGTGATTATTTTATCATGAACATCTCATAGGGTTTAATAAGAAATAAAAATATTTTTTTTCATATTGTTGTATACAATGTGATCTCATTTTTTCACAATTTTTTTTGTTTTTACCTTCCTCCAACTTAGTTTTTTTGATAGCAACTTTTGAAACTTAAATGGTTACGTATATATTTTATTAACTTTTTATATTGAGAATAATGTACTAAAAATGTTGACTCCGATAACCATTTTCAGATAACTATTTTCAAAGTTATAAGAGTCTTAAAGTTAGGATGAGAGGGAAAGTGCGGTTGGGAAATGCACGCAGATAAAAATAATACTACACTTCACCTTTCCTCCTGCTCTAAACTTGAAACTTCAATAACTTCAAAAATAGTTATCTGAAACTCGTTATCGACCAGTCAAAATGTTTAGGACATAATTCTCAATTTAAGAAGTTAATGAAATGTATGCGTTACTATTTAAGTTTTGAAAGATGCTATCAAAAAAACTAAGTGGGAAGGGGGTAAAAAAAATAATTGTGAAAAACTGAGATCACATTGTATAACAACAATATGAAGAAAAAAAAATTAATTTATTATTAAACCTTATGAGATATTGAGTGGTTCATGATAAAAGAATCACCCTTTATAGTATGATAAAATTACTTTAATTTTTTTCTAAGAACGAAAAACATTTTGTGTAGTAAAAAACATTACTCGATTATATTACCTGTTCTGGGGAATATGTCCTAGATGGTTTATTACATGCACCAGCGTTCACTAAAACGGTAAAACACGGCAACAAAAATATAATTTTCCAATTCATTTTTTCGTTTATTTATTAAGAAATACCTATTACACTAAGAAATAACTAGAGGAATCAAAATCAGGTACAGCACTGAACATTTGTTAGTTTTAGGTATTTACAACAACTTACATGTCTTTTTTACTGTATTGCCATTCTGATAACATCTGTTCTGTTACCATTGGTGAAACAGAAGTATACAAACATGATTTATAAAGTTGCTATTCCAAGGAATTGGCCAAGTATCAATAAAGTTACAGTGTACACAGACACAAAAAGAGCCAACATCGTTGTAAAAACAATAGCATCGCTGCTCCGCTTCGTAGCTAAAATATACTTTGCTTATTTTAAATTATTATTGCATCTAAAAATATTTTATGGCTTGTGGCTTCTGTTTCAGTACACAAGATGTAAATGCATGTTTGCCTGTTTTTTTACTGTATTACTTTATTCTAATAACATCTGTTTCTACGACTAAATTTAAATGTAGCTAGAAAAATAATGCTTTAACATTGTATTTCAGAAACACACAAACATGATCTATATATTGATTAAATGAGTATTATTTGTCGAGGGTTAAAAGTAAAATTGGAATGAGAACAATGTTATAAGATGTAGCATATATATGATTAAAATACGGACGGGAACCAAAGTTATATATCTTTAGGGTGGTCGGTAATAAATGTATATAAATTTAAGTACACAATGTAACTTCAAGACTATAACTGTAACTGGTAAAAAGGTGCTGACTTACATACCACTTATCGATGTAAATTTTATTAGACTTCTCATCACTGTTCTAGATCTATGTCAAAAGTGTTTTTTTTTTATATGGACACTTTATCTTAGTTATCGTGCTAGAGGTTCTATTTGTCGCATTCTTCCCATCATCACTTCTTCGGCTCCTTTACGTAGTTTGACTAATCTTGAAGACTTACCTGTTTCCGATTGCTGTTGAAGCTTCTCTTGTCGTTTTTCTTTCTCCTTTTCTAGGAGTCGCTTGCGTCGAGTGGCTGTCTCCTTAAACATCGTGGTAATTGTCAATAATGCACTATTCATTTCATAAGTTAATAACACAGATAAAATTGCGTTGTTGTCCAGTTATGTGCTATGTTTAAAGTTTCAAGTCTCTAGCTCATCGGCAAGATTGTTTAAATTTGATTGCAAACATTTTTACCGAACAGAGAAGAATACGAGTTAATAAAAACGTGTTAAAATAATAACATTATTTTCATGATTTAAGAAATGGGCGTATCGACAATGTGTGTTAATCACGAAATTGCAGCTTTCAATAATGGGTGGCTGTGTATTTTACCTAGCGAACATTGGCAGCCATTTCCTGAGAATTAAATACATGAGTTGATGATATTGTTGGAAAATTTTTTTCAAAAATGAATGCATTCCCATTCACATAAATATGGAAAGCATCAGAGTGAATCCAAAAACGAAAAAATGTTTTTTTTTAATCGTGTAAAATTTGTAGTTATAATTAGTAATAATTTACAAATTTCCTTACTAAATTGAAAAATTAGTGTTGTCCAAGAGCAAGTTAGACCAGATAACCTAATACTCAAACTTAAAAAAAATTATCGATTTTATATGAGAACTTAAGAATAAGGCGCTCACTTTTCTTAAAATTGTTGCACGAAGAGTGGATAGTAGTATTATTTTTATCTGTGCGCATTACTGTACCGCACTTTACCCCGTCCTAAATTAAAATTTTAATGACTTTAAAAGTGATAATTCAAATTTGGTTATTGACCAAACAAAATGTTCAGCAAATCAAATAGATCAGATAGATGAAATATCAGATGCTTTAATTGCTTACTAGCGGCTTGGCAGAGTTAAGCATTTATAATATTTTCATCAATGGTTTTATATTTTAATAATTGTTTAACGAATAATAAAATAGATAAAAGTGAAACTTAAATAAGAATAAATATCATTGTACTACAATAATATGTATTTTTCTGATGTAGACACCTTAACTACCGAACTAAAGGAACGGGTTCTGTTACATGCAATGATTTTAATTTTAACTATGTTATTAACCGTAAAATTTTCTTAGCAATAATAGTTAATTGTAAAAATTTGTCGTTAAAACAAATAAACCAATTACCACCGTGTGTTTCTTATTTATTTTTCTTTTATATTTATTTATTGATTATAAACGTTTTAATTTTTTTTTATAATTGATACTAATTATTCGAGTTCAAAATTTTTAATTCAGTTGCTAACAAATTTTCAAAATGATGTGGATATCTATCATGTTTTTTACAAAAAAAAAATTTGTTGGCTTTGTATAAAATAATTGTCCAATATTTCAATTATTCCTGATATTTTTCGAACCAAAAAAAACAAAATGTTAAAATATTAATATACAGAGCCTCAAGTCAGATAATCATTGATGACTTAGGTTCTTATAAAACCCGTTCAAATAACAAAATATATTGGGCAAAAAAAGTACCTTGTGCTACCTATAAATTTAAGTAATTAAGTAACTGTTCCAAAAATACAAATTTGTTCCAGCTAAGACTATGGTCAATATAAGGTTATAAAACATTTCTTGTTGTACTGACTTAATAAAAACTTAGTCCAAATTAAATTTGAATATTGCAGGGACTAAGGGGTAAAATGAATTATTCGTTAAAATAAATAAATAAAAAGTTTTTCCTGTAAACATTTAGTTGGGACTAGGGCCAATAATTGGTCTTCCAACTAAAAATTTAACGTGTCCTTATATTATCCCATAGTTTAAGTAGAATCAATGTTTTTAAAACATTTACAATTAATTATTTTGGAAACCATTTTGTGCCGAATAACATTTAAATTGATAAAATGTACATTATTGAACAAATATTATTCAAACTATGTAGAAACAGATTTATTAAAGTATGACGTAAAAGGCAATGTTATTTGTAAAATAACAGGCTGTTCATGTTTCTAAAAAACACTAGAGCCGGAATAAATATTTCGTTAGCAAAAAACAGTTTTGGTTAGTATGAAATCATTTTCCTATATTTCATATATTCCTAATACTTTTTGAACCAATATATTATTATAAACAACCTAAAGTCAGAAAAACATTGATTAAAAGGTTTCTTTTAAAAAAACTATAAATTTAAGTAAATAAGTAAATGTTGTACTGACTTAATAAAAACTTGGTCCAACTGAAATATAATTATTACAAGGATTAAGGTGTAAAATGAATTTTTAGTTAAAATAACCAAATAAAAAGTTTTTCCCGTTAACATTTAGTTAGGACTTGGGTCAATTATTTATTTAGTTCTTCCAACTAGAAATTTATCGTGTTCCTAAATTATCCCATAGTTTAAGAATAACAAATACTTTTAAAAACGTTTACAATTAATTATTTTGGAAACCATAATGTGTCGAATAACATCTAAATTGATATATGTACATTATTGAACAAATATTATTCAAATTATATAGAAACAGATTTATTAAAGTATGACGCAAAAGGCAAAGTTATTTGTAAAATAACACAACGTTCATGTTTCTAAATAACAGCAGAGCTGGTTAAATATTTCGATAGCAAAACAACATTTTTGTTGGCTTTGTATAAAATAATTGTCTAATATTTCAAATATTCCTGATTTTTCGAACCATAAAAAACAAAACGTTAAAATATTAATATACAGAGCCTACAAACAAGTAGGCATATTATTTTGTACTAGTAGAAGAAAAACTGTTATTTTTAAACTATTTTCTTGCACGGTAGTATTGTATATTTACTGAAGTTATAGCAAATATCTATGTCGTACATTTTAATTTACCCACCTATTCAGTGCACCAAATTAAAATGTTAACACAAAAAAAATACCAATGACTGCTATTGACACAGCAACCTAATTGGTTTTTAATCAGTCATATTATCACTAGTTTTCAGACCTTAGTCCTAAAAGTTTACTCGAAAAGTGAAATAAAGAAAAAGTTCCCACCCCTTTTAGGGGACACGGTTTATGATATTTTTTTGGTTAATCAACATTTATCGGTGGTACTTTGCCTAAAGAGTATTCCCCTTTTGGGTGTTGTTGTTGATTTGATTTCTTTTCTGGTTTCACATTGAATTTTCATGTTAACCCGACTCGTTCAGTATTATTTTAATATCGCGTTTTTAGGCGAAATGCCATGTGCGCTGTAGCGTTATAACCCTCGTTCATTCGTACAGCGACATTTCTGGTCTCGATTCATTCAGTTAAGTATTATGAAATGTATGTGTCACTCACTAATATTAATCTAAATTTAAATTACAAAAGAACTTACAATATAAAACATTATCTGATAAATTTATAAGGGATTTTGTTGAATAGGGCCCACGCTTTTTTTTTTAGTCAAAAATTAAAGGTGTTTAACATTATTTAAAATTTTAGTTAATTTTCGGTTGTTTTCAAAGTAATTGACATTTTAGATAAAATATGCTTCAACTGGTTGGTAAATTGTTCTTGTAATAAAATTATTTTTTACTTTTGATATTTTTATGTCTTCGCTACACGGAAAATCGACACCGCTTATTATAACAAAAAATAACAGCTGATTTATCTGATAATACAAGAGAGATATGAGATAAGAGATAAGAGATATGGTTTTTACTCTGGAGCAAAATCGGAAAAAATGGACACCGACACCGGTTATCATAACGAAAAATAACAGCTGATTTATCTGATAAGATAAGAGAGATAAGATATAAGAGATAGGGGGTGAGAAATATGGGTCAAAAGATAGGGGGTGAGAGTAAGGGGTGAAAGTTGGGGGTGAGAATTAGAGATAAAGGATGGGTGGAAATGGAGTTGGGGGGGTGGTTATAAGGATGAGGGTGGAAATGGGAATGAGGATGAGGTCAAGGATGAGGTAGAGGTCGAGGTTGAGAATGAGAATGATAATCCCATATAACACAAAATATATAGACAACATATAAAAATGTATTAAATCAACAATTGTCATATTATATGATTCACTGATTTAAAAAAAACTACACTTGTAGATATTTCTTTTTACGTGACAAGTGTGGTTTTCGCATCACCGATTCTATACTATTATAATATCAATTTCTATCTAGATTAATAGCCTAAGACAACTGTTTTATTTATCTAGATAAAAGTTAGTTAAAAAAATGGATTTATATAATTTTTTTAGATAATTCCCAATAATGTTTCTAATTAATTGATTTATTTAATCACTTAAGAAAGACACTGAATATAATATTATTAACTTACATTAATAGGTACATTAAATTCGATTTACTGATTATTTGAATATTGCTACGGTAAACATTATTATTAAAAAAAAAAAAAAAATTACAACAGAACTGAAATAGATATTCGAATACCTAAAAATCTGGTTTTGGGATATTGCATTTTTTTTGGTATTCTTCGATATTTTTGGTATAGCGGTTTGCCATATTCGCAAACGATTGAATGTATTGCAACTGGGGCCGATCTCCTAATTGTGCCGAAACTTTAGATTTGAAATGTATTAAATAATCGTGGATGTCTTCTAACATAGTTTCGGCATTTTCGAGAAAATCTACATCCACAACTTCGTCTACAAACGGATATCCATACGCTTCCGACAGTGCTCCGACATCGTGTTTAATACTATTTATAATATTATTACTTTGTTTATCACGTTTGTTGACGTTTAAAAATTCGTCACATTTAATAGAACTCACATAATTCAACGAAAGAGTGTCGTCCTCCAAAGCCATCCCGTGCATTACTCGTGTTAATGTACCGACAAATTGGTCAGTACGCTGTTTCAAGTCAACTTCCCTGATAATGAACTTAACCTTAAGTACTCCGTTTAAAACTAACACAAACCTCCATTGTATTCGCAAAATTATAATTTTCAGTACATCGATTATCGCGCGTTGATGATTACCCACGCCGATTATTCCGCTCAAGTTTGGCGTGATCGCCTTTCGAGTCAATTCGGTTATCGTTTCGCAGGCAATGTACCGATTGATTTTTGGAAAGTAATCCAGAACATCAGTATCACAAAACCAATTTTCATTAGTTTTTGCTTTTTTTTTGGAAAAATATATCGAAGATTTATAAAACCGATTGCCGCTGTATGTTTTAGTCTTTCTGCGCGACGCATTAATGTTGTTTATTAAATCGTGTAGCTGTGTTTTATTTTGCTTTAGCGCAATCGCATCCATTACACCGTCTTCGTGTTGGGTGTTCGTTGGAAAAATTGGGTGGTTTTTTGCCAACACCCGTTTTTCCGCATAATAGAAATTAAATGCGTTTCTTTCGTCGCAGCTGGATTGCAAATAGTTCGTTAGTTCATCGTAGACAAAATCGTGCAGACGTAAAATGTCGACCGTACAGGCGGAACCTTTGACCTTTGTGTTTCTGAAGTAGACTTTCGACGCAAGGGCGTAAAATCTGACTAACGAAAGTTCGTTAATTTGCCAATAATTTTCGATAAGCATCGCGTTGATCATCATAATGGTTTCACCCTTGAAGTATACGACATCGAGTGGCGCGTTAGGTTCTATAGTCTTGTAATCCTTCATATATAAATTTCGGACTGTGCGCATATGCTGTTGGACGATAAAAAGGAATCCACACATAAGTTCACGGAGCTTGGCCGTAATTGCTTGATTCATCGAATCGGCCGAAAGAGTTTCTTTCTCGCTAATCGTTTTTAAAGGGTAACCAGTATAGTAGGTTTCTACTCTGGTCAGTTCGTCTCTGATAATGTCTAAGTGATTACCGCTTACACGTTCGAACTCATAATTGAACATGCTAATTGCTTGTAGTATGATGAAGCAAATTATAAATTTACACGATTTGAATACGAACATATTGTAATAGTATTATGAGCTTAAATTCCAAAATGTTAGTAGCTACTAGTAACCGTACCGATGTCGATTATTTTTCGTTGTATTAAATACGATAAACGCACTTCTGCAAAGTATTATTCACTAGTACTGGTATGAATACCACCTATACTTAAAACATTATTACTGTTTTTTTTTTTTTAAACTTGTAAAAAAATAACGTATGATGACTTATGCTTATCAAGCTGTTTAAACCGCACCATAACAAAGTTTACTGTGGTTCGCCTATAATATTCCGGAAAACGTAAACTAGAGAAGTTTTACAAACAAATGAACTGAATTTCGATTCATAAACATTTTAGCGGATGGTTTGGGACGATCAATTAGACGCCAACATTGACATTACGACCATTGACAATTGTCCGCCGCATGTCCGAGGGACAGTGAGAATTTCGTTAATCCATTCGAATTAATCGGCGCGTCATTAATAATACTTTTTAAATGTCAAATTAAGCGTGAACCGTTGGTCTTATGACTTTTCCACGTGGTGTTATTATAGTTGATACCGATTTATGGAGCGATCGAGTTACCAGGTAAAAAGTTGTAACGAGAAATGTCGAGAAATACGCACATATTGTGGAATATACATTTTTTTTTACACAAATTATGTTATAGGCATAGTGTGACGCCGATTGGGTCGAGTGTAGTATCAAATTAAACAACACATCCGGCGCTATCAGCTCACCGCGTCAGACTACCTAACCTTTGTTTGGCTCCGAATGGGGGGGGTTTTGACATTTTCGAAGCCCACCAAAATAAGGGTTTAGGGTTACCCCGGTAACCACAACCATGGTAACCTTAGTAACCACATCCGTGGTAATCTAGCCAACCAATACCGTGGTAACCTAGGTAACCAATACCGTGGTAATTTAGGTAACCAATACCATGGTAACCTTGGTAACCACAACAATGGTAATCTCGGTTACCACAACCGTGGTAACCTAGGTAACAAAACTTTGGTAACATCGGTAACCACAACTTTGGTAACCTTGGTAACCACAACTTTGGTAACATCGGTAAGCAATACCGTGGTAACCTATGTAATCATATTTGTGGTAACCTTAGTAACTACAACCATAGTAACCATAGTAACCAAAACCGTGGTAACCTATGTTAAGATCTTTTTGGTAACCTTAATAACTACAATCGTGGTAACCTAGGTAACCAATACCGTGGTAACCTAGGTAACCAATACCGTGGTAACCTAGGCAACCAATACCGTGGTAACCTAGGTAACCAATACCGTGGTAACCTAGGTAACCAATACCATGGTAACCTTGGTAACCACAACAATAAGAAACTCGGTTACCACAACCGTGGTAACCTAGGTAACAAAACTTTTGGTAACCTAAGTAACCATTACCGTGGTAACCTTAGTAACCACAACAATGGTAAACTCGGTAACCTCAACCGTGGTAAACCCAGTAACCACAACCGTGGTAAACTCGGTTACCACAACAATGGTAACCACGGTAACCATAACTGTGGTAACCTAGGTAACCATAACTTTGGTAACATCGGTAACCAATACCGTGGTAACCTTGGTAACCACAACCATGGTTCTTCATGGTACAGCCCTATTGGTGTGGAATTTTTAGAAAAAAAATTCAGTTTTTTTAAATTTTTGATTTAAGTCGAAATTTTGGTTTTTTGTAAATTTTGACAATTTAAATCACACAAATGGGCAATTTTACCAGATATTCTGATTGCAGGCAAAATTCTCTTAAATTTGATCTAGGTTTGAGCGGATTTAGTGCCAAAATTTAGAATTTTAGTAGGTATTACTGTGTTGTTTGTGTTAGACATAACTTGGGTAACCTAGTTTATTCTTGCTGTGTAAACATATTTGTACAATTAACACATATATATGGGTAAAAAGGCAACCTGAGACATTTGTGAATCTTTTAAGCCACGGTACAGCCCTATTGGTGTGGTATTTTTGGAAAAAAAATTCAGATTTTTGAAAACTTTGAGCTAGATCGAAGTTTTGGTTGTTTGTAAATTTTGAAAGTTAAAATCATAAAAATGGGCAATTTGACCGGATATTCTGATTGCTGACAAAATTCTCTTGAATTTGGTCTAGGTTTGAGCGGAATTAGTGCAAAAATATAGAATTAATGTAGGTATTAGTGTGTTTTTGTTTTGGACATATTATGGGTAAACCTAGTTTATTCTTCCTATTTAAAAATGTTTTCTATCTTTTCTAGAAAAACTATAAAAACAATAAAAACTTTTCTATATTTTCTAGTTTTTCTAGTTTTTAAAGTTTTTCTATCTTTTCTAGTTTTTCTAGTTTTTCTATCTTTTCTAGAAAAACTAGGAAAACTAGAAAAACTTTTCTAGTTTTTCTAATTTTTTTAGTTTTCTAAATTATGTAAAGTAGTTGGATTTTCTTAATAACGGTAAAAACCAAAACTAGTCTTTAAAATAATTGTGTGCTAGTGTAAAACTGAAAAAATAACATATATAATAAACATGCTTATTGTCATATGTTGCTTCAACTTTTATATCTATAACTTATACTCATTTTTTTAAAATTAATTATGAACATTTATAGGCATAATAATATTATATAGATACATCATTTTTCCCAAAAGCTTATAGCACTATAACTGATAACAACATACTTGATACGTGTGCGAGTAAACGAAACCTGCATACAGTTGCAACAGTCGGACAAAATATCTACCAATTTTAAATTAATATAAACTATAATTGAACATTTGTTTTGTTTTAACTATTTTTTATAACTGATACTTTTTATATTTAGTTAAGATAAAGAAAACAACAATTTTGATTGAGAAATTCACATGTAATAACATTGTAACAGTAAAAAACGATTTGAATCAATACGTATAATTAAATATTAAATTTTCCACACAAAATATATACTAGTTTTAAATTATAATCATAATAAGTATAAAATTATCTGCTTAAAAAACACTTGTCAAATATATCATAGCGAAAAATAATTGTTTTAGAAGAAAAATCATTTTAAAATACTAATTAAACATTATTATTTGTATATATATTACCTATAATAGCCTGACTAAAAATTACTGCTGCTAGAGAACCATCTATAAGTTCTTCAATTAATACATAATAATGTTTAAAATTATAACAAAAAAAAAATCATTCAACACACTTGTGCACTATGCCATTGATATTATTATGTTATGTATATATTACATAATTTTAGTCATTTCAATCTAAATAACTAACAAAAAAATAAAAATTAACATCTCGGTCAGGCTTGTCGTACGCATATCTCTCGACTGTATCAAGTAGTTATTCTGAGCAGAGCTTGTCTTTTGTTAAAAAAACATAAACATCGATCTGTAAATACAAAATGTAATTAACAATAAAAAATATGTAGTGTTTAATATATTTTATTTAAAAATAAAACATTCACCTCATGTAATCAAATGTATCTTGCGAGTCTAAAACTCAAGTATATTTATGAAAACTATTTTAATAATTTTGAGTAGTTAGCTTGTTGTTGTTGTATCAATCCCTTGGTGTTAGTAACTGAAAAATAAAAAAATTCAAAAGTAAATACATTTATAAGTAAGTTACCCATGAACTTTGAATACATAATTCGGCGGTTAAAAGTCTATTGGGCTGTTAGTATAAGGGACATTTTTCATAGTTTTCAAAAGCATAAAAGTAAATGTATTTAACATTGTTCTATCCAGTTAACCAAAATAATATTAAAGGTACAAAAAAACTAAATACAAACCAACATGTTTGTGATATATATTTCAGTTTTTATCAAGCCAATAATAATTATAATAGTCGGATGGTTTAAATGTTATTTGTCGTTAATGTCAGAGCCATATATGTACAATAGGTAAAAAAAATCGATCAACATTTTTATTATATTTAATAAATACTTATATTATTTTTGTGTTGTATGAATTGGGTTACAATTATAAAATTAACCATCGATTTAAATATATTGTACATACGTACCAAAATAACTACACATCCTCATGGTTATCTAAAAGTCGTAGAATTAATTAACGTCCAGCCATGCTCGTTCACTACAATATTTTGCTGAATTTGAATGAGATAGTAATTTGCAGATAACAGTTCTCATGTGTTATCATATTTGTCGTATAATATTTTCATGTATTCTACGTAATACTTGAAAAGACGGCAGAGGGAAATTTAGCCTGAGAAGTTATTATCCAAGTTCATAGTTCCACAAAAAGTTATTTTTTTCAAAGCACATTTTATACTCTCATCAGTCATCAAACTATCAAACAACTCTTTCTTAATTGTGGCCTTAAAAATTCAACACATTGAGCAAGTTGTGCATAAGAACTTGATTCATAAAACATTTCTCTGCTCTTAGGTAGAGTTAAGGGAGATCCTAACCGTTTTTCTGTAGCATAAAAGTGATCGACAAAATTACTCATTGAAACTGTTGTTGGTTTGTAAGATGGTTTGACAATAAACATTTTCACTGTTGGCAGCTTGAATGAAGATTGCTTTCTAGAATAATTCTTGTTTCTTTACTGGAGTTTTTGTTGAACAAGTGACTTTACTGATGTACGTTTTGACGGTGATCTTTCATTAATATTTTTTGTAGGAGACTATGGTGGAGATAGCACAAAACACTAAAGAGTAAACAAAATTACTATATTAATAATTATTGATACACAATGACTTAAGGTCTTATAATCTTCAGTAATATATTATCGGGATAACACTAACTATATTATCATTTATCAAGAACAAAAATATTATAATCACACACTAAAATTTGAAAGAATATATTTTGTGATAAGAGTGTATTATCAGTGAACCCTGCTATTCCATTAAGTTCAAAAAGTATGAAATAAGGTTTTAAATCTTTGTTCTAGCTTTGTAGTTTTAACTTTTTTCAATAATACCTACATAATTTAGAGAACAATATTGGTAAACAAGTAAATATTTTTATTCGTATAAATAAGTGTCAATATTAGATTAGGTCATGTTTTGTTACACTCGGTAAACAGACACTTAAAATCTGAATCCTATGTATTTTACTTTAAAATAATTAAGTACCAATCTTAAACGCATAAATGTCACAGATGTAAATCATTCACATTGTGCACAATGCTATGCTTTGCGACCGACTGCTCACTTACTATAGCGGCTTTTTGATGAGATAAGGCTCAGAAGAAAATATATTACATTAGAAATCTTGCAGTCGTTCATATTATGTAGAATGTCATAGGTACTCGGGGACTTGTGTGGCCTTATGGCTTCTTTGCTTTTTCCAAATAAATATTTTGTTTTGGTAAATCAATAATTAATAAAAATTCTAGAACTGAAAGTAGGAGGTCAATGCGGCGGGGGCGGCGAAGACTCGGTATCTATTATCTTGCCGGTAGATGGCGCCATTGGGAGTTTCCATCAAAATTCCCAACGAGCACCCATGGAAATTCGGGTAAAGTTTACTGGAAATCTCATTAAATGTAAAATGTTTGAATTCTGCGGCATTTCATCGACTCACGGACTAGTCGAATGATGGAAAAAAAACGTTTGTCGGCCGTCAGTCCCTGTCGAATAACACAAGGTCATGGGGGAGTTCACTCAACGGGTCGACCGCAGCTGTCAGAGCATAAGTACTGATAATTGCCCGGCAATCGTCCAACTCCGGTTCCCTTTCAATACGAATAAATCTTTCGCCTTTTACTAAAGATTTCCGTGGAGGGGAGCACTCAAAGGAGTCTAGATGAATAATTTTTCTAATGCCCGACTTTCGAGTTAGGCTCACGATACTTAAAAACAATAAATTTATTGAACTTCATCGATACTTGTGTTCAACACGTCATAGCTTTACTGGCCAGTGCAGTGAACGTCCGTCGAATAATGCTTACAACATGACACATTCCAGCATTTCTGGGGTACTTGGATATCCTGATATAAAGTGTTAATGGGCCTAGAAGTTCGTGCATTTGCATGTTCAACTGAATGGTCCAAAAAATTGCTAGATAAGCTGTGAATTACATTTCAAATTATGCAATTTCAAAAATAATTGTTTCGCATATTTCAGGTTTTTTTCATGATTTAAATATAAAAGAAAGCAGCGAAGGCCCTGCACGGGTTGTAAACAAAAAATACACTTTAGACAATAATATTTTTTGTGTTTTTTTATTTCAAGCTCAAAACAACATCTGAATACATAATGTGTAGTGAACCCGGTTGACGCGTATCAAAAATATGTCTATCATCGTCGTCGTTCACCACATACAGTATTTTCGACGTTTGTACATACAGCAATACAAATTTGATATCTCTCAATTTTCCTTTGTTCGGCTTTTATTAAATCGCCGGTGTACATTTTTCTGCAACGGATATATTAGTCAAGCATGTACTTCAAGAGCGTTGTGATCGTCGTAAACGAAAAAATGAAAGCCGGACGTGGTTTTTTTCCAATTTTTCTTACGCTTTACATGTCCGCTTTGGTATCAGCAGCAGTTCCGGTAACGCCGTACCACGTGGACGCTTTGAATATTATGTTTAATTTACCCGGTTGGAAAAATGTTCCACAATGCAATGGTTACACGATAGTCGTGCCGTGGATGGAAGAAGGCAAAGTTTTGTCCGCCAAAGATATACTAGAAACCGACAGCAATCGCGGCCCCCAACTAGTCACCGCCAGTACCGCGGGTCGTAAAATCCGTCAAGCACATCAGCTATTCAGCTGTCAGTATGCCAGCGCTCTAAAAATGTGTTTCCATTACACTTTGGGCGCAGTACTCGCGTGTAAAGACATTAAAAATCCCACCACAACCACGGTATGTATAACCATATTTAGGAAAATGATCAAAAAAATCGACGAAATGGTGGTGCTCGTTCTGGCCAACCTTTCGTTAATTAACAATGAATTCCCAATAACAACGTACGACAATAACGTGTCCGAAACGTTGGAAGAATTCAAGAGGTTCTACAGCACCTTGTTTTTCGATGATACGTCACGCGACAAAACTTACCACGACTTCATAATCAATTCTACCGAAAATAATATGGGCACCGCTTTACAAAGCTTAGGTACGTTCTATAATAACTTTTGCAGACCGAATGAAGATGGTAAAATTGCCGGAATTGTGCGATACATCGAGGAAATGCTTGTAGAACATTTGCCTCTCGAAGTAATGGCAAAAATTAAAGATGAGATAGATTCTACCGTCGACTCGTGCTTAAGAGATCTCATGGCTTAACCCGTAATACGTACGTCCAAGAAAATTTAAACAATTTCATACTATAAAACGAATTATTTGTCGAAGAATAATTTAAAATCCAGCCAACATAGAACTCGAAACAATCCTCATCCACGGCCGCAACAGTTATTCGCATAATAAAATATTCAAATTGTCACATACACATTTTATAAAATAACAAAATCTGTACAACTATAAAATTCCATTTTATAATTATTAACTGACTATTATAATTCCAAATATATGTTTAAAAAAAAAAACCTCAAATTTTTAGTTATTTATGATAGAATAATATTTTGTATTGGTCAATTTTGATTTGTTTAATATTACATTGAACAAATACATTAAGGTCGTGGCATATTAAGGTGAGAGGAACTCACAGATCTATATAAACGGTTACAACAAAAAGTGATTAAATTACTTTCCAATTAACGCTTTGATGCAAATCTGTGGATAGTAGGTTAAAACCAATTTAGTATAAAGCAAGCACAATAAGAAAGTATTATACGTAAGTAAGTAGTTGTAATAAGTATGGTATTGTAAGTATAAATTATGGTTTGGTAAGTTTGGAAATAAAATAATAAATATCAATAATAACAATTATTGAGAAATTGTACACATCATAGTTAAATTATAGTTCTACCTTTTGTCTAATTTTCGGACTAAAATCCGTAAAACTTGTAAAAGTGAAATAAAGAATAAAATAATAACAAAATAATAACATACCGTACAGTAGAAACTAGACACGATTAAGGATTAACAAAGAAAAATAAACAGAACACAATATAAGCCTTAGTCGATTTATTTTCTTTAAAGTAGAAATTTCAAATTTCAAGTTGGAATGAACTAGTGAATGACGTTATCAATAGATCTCTTAGCCATAAATGATAAGGCTAAAATGGAGTTAAATCTGTTGCCGGTACTAATTTTACACGAGGCGCAAAACATATCCCAGATATTATACTAACTGCAGTAGTGAAACTATTTAGTCTTGAACTTCAATCGACTAACGATTTCTTGTGAAATGTGAATCGATTCATTGTTGTAAGATACGTCCGAAATGAGAAAGTTTGCAACAGTATAACGATTACTTAAAATGCCTACATAATTAAGACTATACTTAGATACACAATTAATACACAAAAATAGTCATTGGTTATTTCATGACTCGCATAATTATTTTTATGTTTTACCTACTAAAATGATAAAACATGAGCATATTTTTGATTTTAACAAATAATAATAAATTAAAGTTTTTTGTATTATTTTTTTTTGGCAAAGTAGCCAAAGAACACAGATCTCTTAACAGAATTGAAATTGGTCCATTTTGAGTAATCGATATTTTGTCTGGCTTTTGGCCGAAAAGAAACCAAAATGGCTTTTACTCGTGAAAAAATGTTTTAAATTAAAAATAATAACTTGAAGCTCATTCAAATTAACCGGTATATTAATTGATACGGTCGAAATATGTTAAAACCACTTTTTTCTTAAATATTGCCTATACAAAACTCCTTAAAAACAGACCGCATGAAATCCCCCCCCCAAGTGTAATTTTTCTATAAAATCAAGTGTATATGAAATCAATATAAATAGTACCTATAAAATATGTAATTAAATATTAAATTATATTATTTGATAACATTTTATATATTATCGGGTCGAAAATATAACTCTAATTGTCAATAAAAAAAAACCAAGTTCGAAATAATATATCAATTATAAAGAAAAGTGAACATCTGATTTACAAATTATTTCATTTATTGGAATATTTTTTTTCCAACAATAAAATATACATTCTCGGTCGGTTATAATAATACAAATAAAAATCATTACAAAAGTAAAACTTGACAAATATAATAATCGAATTTTACAAATCAAGTATTGTTGACTATTGTCTGAGAAAATATAAAAAAAAAACCCTATCTAGGTAGGTTCACTCAGTACAGGGATAGCAATAAAAAAATAAAATATTAACAAAATAGTGAACGTCATGAAGTAAATTGTATACTATTATCAAGTCACTTTTATGTTTAGTTTAGTTTTAAGTTTAACCCGGCTGCAAATCAAAGAATATGTTCCTTTCTACGATTGTCGATTTTACAGTGAATTCAAAAAAAAAAAATTAATAATATGATAAAATATATAATATTAAAATTTTACACTGTCAAACGGAAACTTTGTTATAAATCGAAAAACGACTTGTTGTTTGTCTTATGCGATGTGAAGCGAGCAGAGAGTATTTTTTAGTTTTAAAAAAATGTTTTTTTTTTATTATATTGATGTATTTAGGCTGATGGCGTCAACCACGAATATTCGTTTTTAACTTAGATTTACAGCGCTCCATAACTTTATTAAAAATAGTCCAATTAGTTTCAATGATATATAACTAACCCAAACGAATATCACAGTCCCCTTCCCGTAAAACAGATAGTATTTTTTTTCTTTCTTTCACTTTTACAAGTTTTAGGGATTTTAGCCTGAAAATTAGACAAAATGTAGATCTAGAATTTAACTATGACGTATACAATTTTCCGAATAATAATTGTTATTATTGATATTTATTATTTTATTTCCAAACTTACCAAACCATACTTTATACTTACTATACCATATTTATTACAACTACTCACTTACGGATAATACTTTCTTATTGCGCTTGCTTTATACTAGATTGGTTTTAACCTACTATCCACAGATTTGCATCAAATAGTTAATTGGAAAGTGATTTAATCACTTTTTGTTAAAATCCTTTATATAGATCTCCCACCCTAATATGCCACGACGTTTATGTATTTGTTCAATGTATTATTAAACAAATCAAGATTGACCAATACAAAATATTGTTCTATCATAAATAACTAGAAATGTATGGGTTTTTTTTTCAAACGTATATTTGAATTATAAAAGTCAGTTAATAATTATAAAATGGAATTTTACAGCTGTACAGATTTTGTAATTTTATAAAATGTATTTGACAATTTGAATATTTTATCAAGCGAATAACTGTTGCGGCTTTGGATGAGGATTGTTTCGCGTTCTATGTTGGCTGGATTTTCAATTATTCTTAGACAGATAGGTGTATAGACAGATAATTCGTCGTGTAGTATGGATTTGATTAATTTTTTTTCGAAATTCGTTACGGTTCGTACGTAACAAGGGTTTTATCATTTACCTCATCGTACTCGAAGCCAACAGAGGCCCAGAGTTCACTTAAGCTCGAGTTGACGGTAGAATCTATCCGTTTTTTAATTTGTCGCAAAACGTCAAGGGGCATCAATATTCCATGCATTCTCCGCAAATCTCGCCAAATTCTGGCAATTTCTTTGTCTTTTCACACCGACGATTTAATAAAAGCCGAACAAAGGAAAATTGAGAGATATCAAATTTGTATTGCGGTATGTACAAACGTCGAAAATACTGTACGCGGTGAACAACGACGATGATAGACATATTTTTGATACGCGTCAACCGGGTTCGCTACACATTATGTATCCAGGTGTTGTTTTGAGCTTCAAATAAAAAAACACAAAAAATATTGTTTTCTAATGTGCAGGGGCGGCCTCTGGGTCTTCTACCGTTGATTTCACCTATCAGTACTTGTTTACGGATACCAAGAACCTAGAAAAATATAGTAAGAACTTCTTTTTTAAATACCCAAATGAAACAATTAATATTACAAAGAACTTTTTTCTTTTTCAATTAAATCATGAAAAAAACCTGAAATATGCGAAACAATTATTTTTGAATTTGCATTCTTTGAAATGTAATTCACAGCTTATCTAGAAATTTTTTGGACACTTTATATTAGGATATCCAAGTGCCCCAGAAAAGCTGGAATGTGTCATGTTGTAAGCAATAATCGACGGACAGTCACTGCACTGGCCAGTAGTGCTATGACATATTGAACAATCGATGAAGTTTTATTAAATTTACTGTTTTTAGGTATTATGAGCCCAACTCGAAAGTCGGGCATTAGAAAAATTATTCATCTAGACTCCTTTGAGTGCTCCCCTCCACGGAAATCTTTAGTAAAAGGCGAAAGATTTATTCGTATTGAAAGGGAACCGGAGTTGGACGATTGCCGGGCAATTATCAGTACTTATGCTCTGATGGGTGCGGTCGACCCGTCGAGTGAACTCCCCCATGACCTTGTGTTATTCGACAGGGACTGACGGCCGACAAACGTTTTTTTCCAGCATTCGACCAGTCCGCGAGTAGATGAAATGCCGCAGAATTCAAAAATTTTACTTTTAATGAGATTTCCAGTAAACTTTACCCGAATTTCCAAGGGTGCATGTTGGTGATTTTAATGGAAACTCCCAATGGTGCCATCTACCGGCAAGATAGTAGATACTGAGTCTTCGCCGCCGCCGCCACATTGACATCCTACTTTCATTTCTAGAATTATTATTAATTATCGACTAACCATAAACAAAATGTTTATATGGAAAAAGCAAAGAAGCCATAAGGCCACACAAGTCCCCGAGTACCTATGTCATTCTATATAATATAAACGACTGCAAGTTTTCTATTGTAATATATTTTCTTTCTTAGCCTTATCTCATCAAAAAGCCGCTATAGTAAGTGAGCAGTCGGTCGCAAAGCATAGCGTTGTGCACAATGTGAAAGATTTACATCTGTGACATTTGTGCGTTTAAGATTGGTACTTAATTATTTTAAAGTAAAATACATAAGATTTTGATTTTAAGTGTCTGTTTACCAATATTGTTCTCTAAATTATGTAGGTATTATTGAAAAAAGTTAAAACTACAAAGCTTAGAACAAAGATTTAAACCTTATTTCATACTTTTTGAACTTTATGGAATAGCGGGGTTCACTGATAATATACTCTTATCACAAAATATATTCTTTCAAATTTTAGTGTGTGATAATAATATTTTTGTTCTTGATAGTACTGAAGATTATAAGACCTTAAGTCATTGTGTATCAATAATTATTATTATAGTAATTTTGTTTGCTCTTTAGTGTTTTGTGCTATCTCCACCATAGTTTCCTACAGAAAATATTAATGAAAGATCACCGTCAAAACGTACACCAGTAAAGTCACTTGGTCAACGAAAACTCCAGAAAAGAAGCAAGAATTATTTTAGAAAGCAATCTTCATTCAAGCTGCCAACAGTGAAAATGTTTATTATCAAACCGTCCAACAACCCAACAGAAGTTCCAATGAGTAATTTTGTCAATCACTTTTATGCTACAGAAAAACGGTTAAAATCTCCCGTAACTCTGCCTAAGAGCAGAGAAATGCTTTATGAATCAAGTTCTTATGCATAACTTGCTCACTGTGTTGAATCTTTAAAGCCACAATTAAGAACAAGTTGTTTGATAGTTTGATGAGAGCATAAAATGTGCTTTGAAAATAATAACTTTTTGTTGAACTATGAACTTGGATAATAACTTCTCAGGCTAAATTTCCCTCTGCTGTCTCTTCGAGTATTACGTAGAATACATAAAAATATTATACGACAAATATGATAACACATAAGAACTGTTATCCGCAATTACTACCTCATTCAAATTCAGCAAAATATTGTAGTAAACGAGCATGGCTGGATTAATACTACGACTTTAAGGTAACCGTGAGCCCGTGTGTACAATATATTTAAATCGATAGTTAATTATAAAATCGTAACCCAATACATACAACACAAAAAAATGTTGATAGATTATTTTACCTATTGTTGGACATATATGGTTCTGACATTAACGACAAATAACATTTAAACCATCCGACTATTATAATTATTATTGGCTTGATAAAAAATGAAATATATATCACAAACATGTTGGTTTGTATTTAGTTTTTTTGTACCTTTAATATTATTTTGGTTAACTGGATAGAACAATGTTAAATACATTTACTTTTATGCTTTTGAAAACTATGAAAAATGTCCCTTATACTAACAGCCCAATAGACTTTTAACCGCCGAATTATGTATTCAAAGTTCATGGGTAACTTACTTATAAATGTATTTACTTTTGAATTTTTTTATTATTTCAGTTACTAACACTAATAGATTGATACAACAACAACAAGCTTACTACTCAAAATTATTAAAATAGTTTTCATAAATTTACTTGAGTTTTAGAC